AGCCTATTTCACCCTATAAACGTGGTTTGCATAGGGAGATGTTCAACATATAAGGAAAATAGAAAGGCGATAGAATCGCTCTCAGTAGAACACCAAAGTCGGCACGGAGAACAGAGGATTTCTTACCGTTCAACTTAGTGAAATGAGTACGATGTGTAAAATAGTCACGTAACAGATTACACACACCAGGGTGAACTCCATTTTCGGATAGCAGGTTTAGCAACCTTGACCTATCCAGGCTTCCAAAGGCATTCGAATAATCCAGAAACAGAATCCGTACGGATTTAAATTTCTGATCTAATGCAGAGGCTATAGACTGAACAAGATTTGCCACTGCATCCAAAAAGGAGCGCTGGGGTCTATACGCGAACTGGAGAAGCTGAAAAAGTCCGCGGAATTAACAATCTTTCGAAACCCTTTAGGAGCACAGATGTACATGCAACTGGGCTATACCTTTGAGATCGAATTTTTGGTACTGGAGTAATACTGGCCGCTCTCCATATGTCCGGGATGACACACGTAGTGAGGCACTTGTTAAAGAGGCCTGTTAGAAGCAGTGTGAGAGAATCAGCGCACTCCTTTAAAGCTAAGGGTGAGAGAGCATCAAGATCACAAGCTTTTGTTGCCTTTACTCTTTTGAGTTTCTTGAGGACATAACTTTGATCGAAGGACGCGGCTGGATTTGAGCTAATGAAGGGCAAGGAATATGTGCTTAGTGAAGCGGGACTAAACTCCGAATTCAGTTTATCCACATCCTCTTCACCTCTCCGGCTGCAAACGCTCTTACCACAGAGCTGCCTAAGAAGCCTCCATAGATCGTGACAGTTATGGTTGCCTAGAACTGCTTCGATGTATAATTGGTTTAGTCTTTTTTATTATCTCGGATTTAATTGCCGTGGTTAGGCTTTTGACACGGGTAGCATTCTTGCACTTGTAGGCCCATTCTTTCATCCTTCGAAGTCGCTTTAGTAGTGGTGATGAAAATCCATCTGCTCTTAGACAGGGCGTTTCAACTGGACCACAAATGTCAAAGCAATATTTGCTATAGTCCGTAAGATGGTCACATTCGAGCGACAAGTCCACGTCGTGGAAGACCGAAAAATCAGTTAAAGAAAACATCGTCTGGAGCCTCGTGATATTTTCCAAGGAGCAATTTCGCCGTTTGATAACCTTGTAAGGCCGTCTGGTCAGCGTTAAAAAGGCAGACCTGCTCCAAAGTTAAAAATGAAATATAGAATCCGCAGTCTGTGGTGTAAAATAATCCAACGAGAACAACAACGGCCGAATTTGAAGGCCCCGTCCACACAAGGCTTCATAAAATATTGCTGTTTCTTATGCTTATGGGACAGTAGAGCAACTCAACAGCACTACACGACCTGAAAGTGGCCAGAGAGGACGGAGTGTGTTGCAGAAAAAATGAGTGCAAAGTATACACCTAGTGTGTAACCAGGTCGTGTATATCTACCACCCCCTGCACATCAACCTTGGTTTGAGGAAAAACGTCGTTAAAGCCCTCAAGTGAGATGCTTTGCGTTCCAGTACCTGAAACAAGTGTATCCGAAGATCGGTGAACCGAAACTCAAAGGAGGGTTACGTATTGGGCCCGATATTCGCCGGGTAATGGCAGACATTGTTTTCGAATGCCAGTTGACTTCATTTGAGTTAGAAACGTGACGATCATTTAAGGCAGTGTCTACAGGATCATTGGGCAGACCAAGGGCAGAGAAATTTAAAAATATCGAATGTCACACAAAATGTACTTTTTGCATAATCATCTTGGCTTTCTCCCAGTGAACCTGGGATCTGTTAACGATGAGCATCGTGAGCGCTTTCAGCAGGACATTTCAGTCATGGGAGCAGCGCTACAGTGGCAAATACACGCCTTCTATGATGGGTGCCTTTTGCTGGTTTCTGCAGCGTGAAGGCACTGGATCATCATTTTCCAGTGCCAAGCTGCAGTCAGCAGTTAGTGGCGAGTGTTGCAGAGATGTTTTAAACGTATTTGCCACATAGAAGCACTCCGTGTATGTTGTGATTCAGTACATTTACGACGTAGGCTTGACATTACTGAAAATAATCATTTTCTTATAACAATGTAACCTGGTGTGCAAGGTAACATCGGAATACATTTCTACGGTCAGTAGAGTGTATTCTATGACGTATGAGCATTGGTATTTCTGTTATAGATAACCAAGTTACCTTTTGCACAGCTGCTGTTATCGTCGAGGACGAGATTCGCCACCAACTCTCGAACGCTATCTGTAGTCTTTCCATTACTGCCGCTGACATACGTCGCGCAACTACAAAGGACCCTGTCCCACACAAAGCTGTCACTTAGATTCAGACGCGCTGGAGAAACACTGCCCTATATGGAGAAATCCAACAGCTGTTTCAGAGCCACGAGAATCTTTCCGTGGTCGACTCCTGCCTCACGACTGCGGATCGAGCCGCTGCTCCTTTCTGTCATCGGCAAGATGTGCTTCGTCAGTTTCATTCTGCTCATCCTGGTAAGCAACAGAAGGGAGGTAATCGCCTACAGCTGCGTCTACTTGACCGGTAGTAACCACGAGATTGAAAATTTGACCCACCGTTGCGCAGGTTCGAGCCTGCATGGGGACAGGATGACCATCGCAGTATCCTTATCCCACGTGCGACCGGTGATGGTTGCGCGGCAGCGAAGCGTCGCTACTGTGTACCGGCGTACTGCTGATGTTTTTCCTTTCCTTACTTGCTCACGATGTCAACAAGCACCAAAGTGTCACCGCACCAAGCACTGATTCATTGGCAGCCGATAGTAAAACTGTGGTACAGTGAGCCCATCGATTATGTTGGTCCGATCGATGGTATCTCCTATCTAGTCGCAGTTGATGCCTATTCGAAATGGCTTAAAGTCGTCGCGATCAACTCACTGACCGCATGCGCCACCCTAGTTTGTCTGCGTCAGATCTTCAGCCAACATGGACTTCCCGATGTTCTGGTGTCCGATAATGGCTTTCAGTTTACGACCTTCATGTTCAAAGATTTCTATCACCGTCAATGCATTCAACTCCACGCTATCACCCTCGGTCCCATGGTCAAGTGTAGCATTTTGTCGACACCCTCAACAGAGCACTCTTGAAAGCTGTTGAGGAGGGGACCATCGAGGAATGCTTTCAAGCGTTCCTGATCCCTCACCGGACCACAACAAATAAAGCAGCTCCAGGAGGTCAGTTCCCAGCTAAATCATTGATGAGTTGTAAGTTGCGCACTACTCAAGAAGCGCTCATCCCAAGCGAAGAGCAGAGAAACACAGCCTACTGTCCTCGACAATTGCAATGGGCTTGTCGTTGGAGTCCCGGTTTACGCCCGTGACTATCGAGCAGGTCATCCACGCTGGATCGAGGAAACAGTGACGGCACGTAGGGGTGATTTGCTGTACAACGTCCCTGTGAGCTATGACACGCGAATTCGCCACCGCAATCAACTTCGGGTGCGACATGGAGAACCTTCCAGGACAGTCAATCCGTTTGTGCACTTTGCCGCTACACACCTTGCTGGACACCTTCGGCATTATGGCAAAAAAGCAGACGTCGGCGGAAGTCAACCAACCACCATCAAGTCTTAAATCACATCGCCGACGAACAAGTAGATCGTCAAAATTGCACCAGATTAACCATTATCAGAGGCGGTACAATCCATGTTCAAGGCAAGCTGTTGCTGGAGCGCCAAGCGATCCCGCAAAAGTTACTCACCATCGCTCGTGTCACCAGGCCACGCAGAGAGGAACGAATTTCTTGCCCCCCAATGCAATAAATTCAGGGCGAGCGCAACAGGTACGGAATAGAAGATTTTCTTTTTGAATCTCACATTTCGACGAAGTGAGTCATTCTCTCTACAAGCAAAGTGGCGTCCTGCTCTGTACTCGCAGATGTTTAGTCGTAAAACACTTTACAAGAGTCTGTTTCCTTTCTCCTTTGAGCGCGGGGGTGTGCATCCATCAATCGGCATAGATGATATGCGTTAGTCAATTTGTCGGCATCGATTAGGAGTAACTAGGAGCGAAGCTTGGGGCGTCGTGTCACCGAACTAGGCCGAAACGGTTATGGCGTCCAAAGCAGAACAGGGCGCGACGAATCAACTGCCGATCGACGAAGTGTCATTACAGTGGATGATACAGTTGACCATCGGGAGTTGTCTGGCAACAAATTCTTTGGTGCTGCAATGCATCGTTTGTTAGAGATACGGCGTCTATACACTGGTTAGTTCATACTATTCCAAAGGTCGTCGAGTAACAACTTCGCAGATCAATCATCGTCCATTATGCATCTAGTTAGGTGAAGCCTTATGAACGGCAGTCGATGACATGGTGAAAAATTACTGAGGTTGGTCCGGGTCGATGTATTCCGTTCTTTTAGTTACATTCACAAGTAGAGACCTCTGTCTAAATAGGTCCTCAAGCCTGCAAGATTGTGCGTCAGCATTCCGGACTAACGATTATGTTGTTCTTTAACCCCGTCAAACTGCAATTTTTCATGTGTAGACTTTGTCTTCTCTGACTCATTTCCCCCGACGATTGTTACTTAACAGTGTTCCGAATGGTGAAACAGATGACAGCTAAGTTAGTTGTGGAAATTCCGTATGCAAACAACGGATGGTTGACTGAGCCGATTTCGGCAATGGAAAATCCGCAGTTATGGTGCTGTATAAAATAAAAGAAGACAGTGGTCTTGTACGAAAACAGAGTCGGTTAATGTGTTGCGTGGCACAGACGGTCACCAGAAACCTGCACTAGAAAAGTGCTGGCATCGTTTATGTGTTTAAACTACGAAGTAGAAGAGCGTGATCGCTCGGTCAAACAAATGACACGATCGCTAAGAGATGGAAGTTTACCGCGCATTGATGCTAGAAAAACGTATTCGAAATCGGGTTGAAGATGAATCCGGTAACGTTAAGGACCCAAATGCAAAAGGTGCGGCGAATATCGCTAGAAATTCTACGACAGGCAAGAAAGAGAAACTCACATCCTCGGTTACGGAGAGGCAAATCTGATGGACTTCTTCGAATCGAAGCAGTAAATCGCTGAGACAAAGCTGGAGCCAGGACTATCGAAAAGAAGAAAACAGAAATAGAAAACGACAACACAAAACGAATCAGCACGTTGAAAGAGAAGGGTTAGCTCGATTAAACTGAAGAGGGTGGCTTCACCACAATAGTAGTGGTACAAGGTCATGGAGGTGTTTCGTTGTTTCTCCTCTCAACATTGACCGGTTTCGTCCTGGTTTGGACTCATCAGATGGAGATAGCGTGAGTTGGGGTGGAACTCAGCGCCTAGCGTTTAACGGCTGAGGCCTTGTTCACTATGCCAATAAGATACGTGAATAACACTTGACATAGCAGTAAGAAATTCGAAGTTGTACTCCAAATCAAGGTTTGAATTCCTTATCACTGTGTCAAGTGTTGCTCACGGATCTTACAGGCATATTGACTAAGGCGTCAGCCAAGAACCACTAGACCCCGAGTTCCACCCCAACCCTTGCTCTCCAACTGACGAGTCCAAACCAGGACGAAACCGGTCATGGGGTGTCAGTGTTTAGAGGAGCAACACCGAAACACCTGCATTTCGAATGCGGTCTTTGTGATCGGAATGACCGACGTCTACTTCAAAATGAACTGAGGTCTCAACAGAGGTTACATGTCGCAACCCAACCATACGGCGGGTACTCCAAACCCAACTTTGTTACAGAGCTAATTGGACAACGTCTAGATCAAAGTGACCAAAACCCAGTAAAGAAAGACATTTTTAGGCTACATAGGCTGATTCCTATTGGTTAGGAATCCGGATTAAATAAGTGAACAAGTGTACACCGGATGCGCATCAGAGGCATTAATCAGTTCGGCAGTCTGATGACTAAACAATTCCAGCAATACGTAATCCAAGTGGGATGCGTGAAAACACCTAATGAGTGGTGGGAATACGAAACCTTTGGTCTAGTGTTCACATTTTGCTGAGTTGATGATGTGGACACACAATGCGCTCTCAAATGCAACACACTTCACAACAGCGACTCGGACCGAATCCTACCTTGCGAATACGGTGACCGCCGATGGATACTGTTTCGAGTGCTCTCAATCACAGTAGCAAAATGTCAACGGGGCGGCTATTTATAGGTACGTAATTTAACGACTTGAACAGCAGCGTAGAGCCACTTACCGAAAACACAGTTGCAGCTGATAAATGAAGAAAAGGTCTGAAACTGTGTGGTGACGCAAAAATGGTAGGAAGAAGAGAAACAACAGGGATCAGTCGTGGATATATCCGATTCACCTTTATTCTTTGGATAAAGAGCGATTGGTGAGATGTAAACACCAATAGCGCGTAATGGAAGCTGTATCAAAGGAGTAAGGCGAAGTTTTCTATAGGAGATGGAACCGGTCATACATCATCATCTGGTTGGTACAACGAACAAGCGCAGTAGTGTAGCAAAGATGCCGCTCAGAAAACCATTTCCCGGCATAGCCGGTTACACATTCGATCCAGGACAAAAAGTGGAAACTGTCCCGGCATCCGAGGCTGAAGATTGAATCCAATATGAATATTATTATGTGGGAGGTTACAGTTGGGTGCAATCCACTACAGGACGAGGTATTTGACAAGAACCAGTGTTTCACGCATGTCATTAGAATCTAGATGCGTCGTTGAACAAACAATCATTGGCTGAGTTTAACCACGAAAGAGTAAGCGATCCGGTTGGCCAAGACAGTGAAACGTGGAGCAATAGACTGTATTCATTTAGTTCAGCGACAAGTCGTGAATTGACGATGTGGTCTATACAGTCCTGTGTTAGCGGAAAAACATACGACAACGTTTCCGATATGGAACTTATAGAGCCGGCAAACTTGTAGGAATGTTGTTGCTGCAAGTTTTGCCTATTTCACTTTGAAGGTCAAGGGAACTGATCGGACGATATCGAAATAAGCGAGAAATAAGTACGGTACGTTGTATAACACAGTTGTACGTAGGAGTCTAGTTGGTTGGAAAAGGGTTATCTGATGCTGTTGTATGACATGTTCAGGACAGGTGGAAGGAGAAATAGAGCAAGGCCTATGGGGACTGAAACACAGAAACCCAACACGTATTTGCTTTCAGTGTATCATATCGACCAGCAAATGGGTGGGGACGTACACTCAATCCAAGGCTCTGTACGCGCGTCAGAGTGTTGGAAAAAATGCATCCACAATACTGCGCGCTATCTATCCAAGATCGCTAAATCCATAAGCGAAGTTAACGCAAAAACCGAAACTCACCGGGGGAAGGTGCGGCAAAACTGAGGAAAATAGGTGTGCTCCCTTTCGAATGCCCAATAATTCCATGTAAGATGGGACTGCGGGCATTGTATCCCCAGTCTCCGATTGAGGTTTGACGGAAGTGGATGTCGTTACGAGCTCCCTTAGTAGACGATCGAGAACTCGTTGTTTGTAGTGCAATAGTTTATTTCGTCTACAAAAGAAGGAAAATAAAACAAGAAAATGGCAGAAAAGTACGAACGAAAGTATTAAAAATAGGGTAGCCACTGGTAGCACAGGTGGATAAATGCGTTAGTCTGGCAGTTAGCAGAAAGTGCCACAATCACAAACGTTCCTGGGCTGAAATATGATTAAATTCAACTGTGAGAACACGCAAAAATAAAACTACTCGATAAGTACGAACAATGCGATGAAGTTAAAAAAGTAACCAATACATAAGGAGAAGATTTATTCAGATAGGGATGAACAACAACAACAACAACAACAACAACAACAACAACAACAACAACAACAACAACAACAACAACAACAACAACCCGAGTCCTTACTTTCACTTCGTTTATTTCATTTAGATCGATCTAGACTCGGCTACACTTACAACAGGGCCCGAAAAGAGATCCAAAAAGACAGGTATACACGGGGTACCTAACCCCACCCCTTTACTTAGTTTCATATGCTTGTGTAACGCCAGTCGCCAAGTGGGAAAGTCGCAAGCCTATGGGAACGCTGAAATGAAAAGAAGCTGTGAACCGTTGGAAGAAATTTCATCTTAAACCATTCAAGTACTCTTCGCTCCGCCATACGTAACTCGATGGCTTCCGTCCATTCGGAGACTGGGGTTGAAGTATACACAGAGTTTTGAGCCGTGATTTGCCGTGCACCCCATCATCGAACAACATAAGCTCACTAAGCTACAGTTTTACATGGTCTGTTATGCTGGAGTAGAGTTTCAGCTCGGCCATCGACTGACAAATATAAAGCAATCAGGCGACAGTGCGCTTTTGAGATGATTGGACGCGGCTGATATGCGAACGCTGCTGGATAAGCCACCACATAGCGCTGCACACTTTGGTGTGTGTTTTGCACCCGCAGAGTGTGAAGAAAAATAAGGAGGAACAGGGTTAAAGGTGGCTCCAAAAGAAGCTGACGAACTAGAGCCGATCAGCTGTCTAATACCAAAGTGGAGAGTACGCAGAGATTAAATAGAGAGATTAGATAATGCACTAATCAAAACCAGATGGCCTAGTAGTTAAGGCGTCCTGCTAGCGAGCACATATCATTTGGAGAAATCCACAACCGTAGGATTCCGTGTCTAGTACAATCAGCTAAAAGTCGCCAGTTTATATTTATGGTTTCCGTAGCGCTAAATGATGCATTCTTCGCTATCAGGTAGTGTCGGAAGACACTGAGCATGCTGAATTTAGTATCATCAATCATTTGGGTATATTGCATTGAAAATGTAGGGGCGATAAAGTCTGCGCTAGGTTCTTTTGAAAGCTGATAGTGATTTCGTTAGCTGTACTGAAATATGGGCCACTGCGATGAGACTGAACCTTAACGTGGTGCGATGGTTCGTGTGCCTCAGTGATCCATTAAGCTGTGCTGGGTGGTACATTTTTGCACCTTCAGAGGCACTCATACCAGATTGGTCAATGGCCAGACAAACTCAGTCTCCTGGCCTTCCATGTTGGGGGTTGGAGTGAGCGTGACTCCTTACTCCATAAAACGTGCTCTCTGTAGTCCAGTGCCAAAACGCCGCTGTCTTGCGGTAAGGTTTTTGAACCAAAGGCTTTGATTGAGAACCCTAGTCGGTCTCCTGTCTAGGCCTGGGCAACCTGACAGTATCCCACCCGCGTAATACACCAGGAGCATTCATTCTAATAATCTCTTGATGCTCCGGCCGTCGCAGAGGATAATAAACGGCGCCCTATCTGCTACATCGAGCAGGGTGGATAGGGGTATGGATGCTACTGCTCAGGATTTCCCGCCTTATTATTCACCCTCTTAGGGTTTTTCATCCTTAGCGTCCCCTTCCAATTTCACTTTCAGCCCCCAGTTTTAAATCCCTAAATTATTGGCTCTTCCCCACCTTGTTTCAATAGTCGCTTGTCTTCTAGTTTCAACTCACGCACAGTCGCAGGGTATCGCTCCAATCCAGTGGACAAGCCCATGCTCAACCAAGCGGATGCCAGTTCACCCCTTTTCCTTTGGAATCCTCGATCTTCGCTAAGAGTGGAATCCCGCAAGGTGCGCACTTTGCTACAGATTGGCCAACAGATAGCATTTCCGCGAACACTCAAGACCCACTCAATCGATATTTGCTGTTTATCGGAAACCCGTTTGCAAGTTTCGAGCTCCGTGCTTACTCTGCGACACCCCACATGTGACACTGACGGCACATTCTCATTGCGAATGCCTGGCGATGACGCAGCTCCAAATGCCGGTCAAGTTGGCCTCGGAATTGTTTTGAGTCCCCGGGATGAAGCTGCCCTGATCGACTGGATCCCTGTCAAAAGCCGGATGTGCGCCGTTAGGCTGGCTGGCTCATTCCATGCTACGAAGTCGAGCGGGGACAAACGGCGCCTGTTTGTCACTGCGACTTACGCCCCCACAAGCTGAAACCATAATTCGGTGAGAGATGATTTCTATCATCAACTTAACGATCTTCCTTGTTACGGAAGCACGGATACTGTGGTGCTTGCTGGTGATCTAAAGGTTCGAGTCGGAAAATTGTCCTCTGATGAGCTTCATCCGGGCGGCCAACATGGCGTAGGCTCCCGTAATGATAACGGTGAGCGGTTGATACACCTGTGTAAAGGTGCTCGTCTCTTTCTCGCGAGCACTAACTTTCGACATAACACCCGCAGAAGAGTGACTTGGCGCCTACCAGCCTAAGGACAGCCATGGACGCAAATCGATCACATCGCGATTAGTTACCGCTGGAGAGGCTTTGCCCAAACTCCGACCACACTCTCGTGTGTGCCGACCTGCGGGTGCGTTTCGGCGGACGTTCGCAAGGTCGATCTGAGCGTATTGACACCAGCTAGCTGGCGAAGCCAGGTGCTGACAGCTGGGCTGAGTAAGCGTCCACTGAACACCGTCGAAGATCACTGGTCGCATATTCGTCAAATGTTACTATCAGCAGTCATGTATTCATGTGGCAAATCAAATTGCAACCTAGATAATGGGTCCCTGCAGAGTCTCTGGAACTTATGGATGCTCACCGACGTATTCCGGCTGAAAGCGAATATAATGAGACTTGCTAAAATCTCATGGCAAAACTGCGCGCTAGCCTGAAGAGAGACCGCGAAGCCTGGTGGTCTCATCGTGCACCGGAAATGGAAACAACCACTGACGTTGGTAATCATCGCAAGTTATTCCGTCTGATACGGGAAATAGGCAGCAGGACACCTGGTGTTAGCAAGACGATACAAAACGAGAGTGGAAAGCCGATCCATAGCCTGTCAAAACGCTTGGAGCGCTGAGCCGAACACTGTGCAAGGCAGTTTAACCAATCTGAGTTATCGCTTTCACTTTCAGGTACTGAGTGACTTTCTCCACGGGCCGTCTCCTTAGATCCGCCCTCACGTACAGAAGTCAAACGTGAGATCAGACTGCTAAAATTGCATAAGATCGCTAGTGCCGATAGAATTCACCCGGCTCTCTACAAATTCGGAGGACCTGCTCTTGTGGATGATTTACACGAGTTACTAGTGAAAATGTGGGAGCAGGAGACTGTCCCGACAGATTGGAGCCACTCCGTCATAGTCCCAATTTTCAAGGGAGGCTCCCGTTCGGAGTGCGGCAACGATGGAGGCAACAGTCTGACTTCAACTGCCTCTAAATTACTTGCTTCTGTTGTTCTCTACAAACTGACTGATGCTTATGAAGACCATATCCGCGAAGAGCAAGCCGGATTTCGTCGAAATCGAGGCTTCCCCAAACACACCTTCATTTTGCGTCAATTTTTGGGGCACCGCCATTTTTATTGGCGACCCACCGTTGTCGTGTTTCTCGACATAAAATGTGCCTTCGACTCAGTCGATCGATGTGCACTTTAGGACTGTCTGCTGAAAAAAGGTATGCCCGATAAATATGTAAACATTATCAAAGCGTTGTACGCGCCTCGTTCGGGCAGAGTGAGGGTTTATGGCAAACTGCCGCCACCCTAGAATATGTCCAGCGGTGTGAGACAAGGTTGCCCGCTGTCACCTTTCCTCTTTAACTTCGCTAATGAAGAAGTCATGGAAATAGCGTTCGCTGGACATGACTTAGAAGGTGCAGAGCTACTTCCTGGTGAGCGACTTCTTGACTTAGAGTATGCGGACGATATCACCCTAATCTGTGACAGCTCACAAACATACCAAGCAGCACTGGACCGATTAACACTGGCTGTCTATCGTTTTGGGCTATGCTTTGCTCCACCGAAATGCAAAGTTCTTCTCCAAGATTGGAAGGGACGCACGACTTCGCCGAACCTTGGTGGTGATCAGCTAAAAGTCGTTCAGGAATTCAAGCACTCTGGGATCGAAGCTGAGATTTCGAGCCGTATGGCAAAAACTCGAGGTGCTTGTGCCAATCTCTGCCACCTGTGGCGCAGACACGACAAAACTCTCGCCCTGAAAGACAGGGTTTACAATGCAGCCGTCCGTTCAACCCACTTATACGGTTGTGAAACCTGGCCAGTCGATAGACATAAAGAGGCTCGTCACGTTTGTGCGCCGGGGGTGCGATTGGAAGAGGAGGCCAAGAGATGACTTAGTCGAGAGAAATGAAAACTCACACTTCGAAGTTGGCATCCATAAGTGCATCACGACTGCCTGGTTGAGGTCCTAAGGACGATGAACATGTTTGGTTGGACACACCTGCTGACATGGTTAGCAGCCGGCCCCAATGGCGTTGGTGTTGTGAGTTCCTTGGTGCATACCCCTCCTGTTTAGCCTCCCCCTCCAATCACGATCTTATTCGTTAGGCATAATATAACACTTTTTGCGGCATGATAGCCGGCAGTTAGCTCTCAAGAACAATGCTCATGCGTTACTGGGGACTCAGTCGGTGTGCCTCTGTCGTATTTTTATTCTCCTTGTATTTGTACTGCGGCACAATAGCTGAGGTGTTTTTCACGTGTAGTTAACCTGTATAATGATGATGACTGGAATATGGGATTACTTAAAAATTGTCGAAAGAGTGTCTCTTCATACATGAGTCCTGAACTACTATAAAAGTGGGGACAGTTGGTTCGCAGTGTCCGTAGTCCCCAGCAGCTAGTAGGACAATAATAATAATACTCTCCGTACAGTATGCAGCGCGATAAGAGTACTAGACGCATAAAGTCTGGAGTGATATGGACACTGTGATGGAAAAGCAGCAACATCAAAAGATTATGTAGCGTCCAGCCAATGTTTGGACGGAAGCCACGAGAGAGTCAATTCTGTAAATGCACACCTATAGTTACTTTTTACAAGAATCGTTTAATAGAATAGACGAAACATATTGCGAGGTCGCTACCAATAATGTGCTCTCAAGGTGGTCTCAGTGTGTTCTCAAATACTTCTGAGATGGGATAAACAATGCATAAAAAAGTCCAGAAGGAAGAACGTCATGCCAGGGTTAAATGATTAGCCATGATGCACCAGATTTTGCTCTCCATGCGCAAGGAGAGTGATACAAATGACGGTAAGCAAGTGGTTTCAATATTGTCATCGAAGAAAACAACACTTTGGCCAAAGTGGCGAGTAACGTCCAAAAACGACAGATAAGAGGTGGTGAATGATAGTCAGCAAAATGCCAGTAGAGGAGTGAATCAGGACTTAGTCAAGAACAACCGAGTGACTCACGTGTCATTTTCCACGAGTACTCGCGCCAGGGATACATCGATTTCATCCATATGTAGAATGAGTGAGTACATCTGGTTGAAACAAGAGCAGACAGAAGAGTTTTGTCAACATGGTTGCGAAGCAACTACGCGATAAAATGGGATCGAAAGTCATGCGAACGCTCACCCTTTCTATTCTGGCCAGTAAAAGCAGACGGCGACGAGTGCACTTCGTTGAAGACGTAGATTGCAGGTGGGAACCACAAACGTCAGCAGAAGAAGGCGACTGAAAGGAAAGTGAGACAAAACATTCAAGATCAGTTAAGCAAGACTCTTGGACGATGGAATAAGGAGTTCAAAAAGAGAAAAAAACAAACGGATCGCGAGAAATGCTAACAGAAAGCACATAAGAATGAAGAGGTTACGGCAAAGAAGTCGGAGAGAATAACATAATAACCGAAAAAAGAGGCGTCGATAAAGCAAAATAGTTACAAGCGTAAAGGCATGCCTAAATAAGAAATTGATAAGATACAAAATGAATCGAAAAAACGAAAGGTGAAAAGTAAAGCACACAAAAACAACAAATAAAACCAGCAGCATGTTGCACGAAAAATCATGGAGAAAAAGATTATCGATAAAATGGCATAAAAAAGATGCAATGGCGCAGAAAAATGTCGATACAAGAGAACAACAGCAGATTTGAAGTAAAGATCAACGGGTGTCAAGGAACAAAACCGCGAAATCCAAAAAAGTAGCAAGCCACATGCCCAAAAAAGTGATGATAAATGGCAGATAGAAAGGAAGGCACATTAAAAATTACGTTTCAACGCGTTGCACAATGCTTGCGGTCTGTAATCACAACATTCGTCATCCCCATTCCAACACATACAATACCAAAACACAAACTACACAGCAGAGAAAACCACAATCGAATAGGTGTGACAAACGAAACAGCAGCTCAGCAACGTAGCATAAGAACAACAAGCAAACAACCACATCACCGTACACAACAAATAAAAATACAGTGTTTGATGCATGCACACAAAAAGCCACACAACTCAATAAAGATAAAGCAACCAATATCATGTCATCCACATACACAAACTAGGTGAGACTAATGCGGTTAAACGAAAATTAACAATAAATTGAATACTATTGTCACCGGGGCGAAACGGCTGACTACCATGGTGCACTCTAGTGGACCGCAGCCTAAGAACGTGACACGATTTCCGGACCTCAGTCTGTATGACATAGGTTACTATCCGACAGACAGTAGCACGGCTGAGTCAAGCAGGAAGAAGATAAAATCAGACCGTCAACTTCACACGGGCTGCTACGTGACAGGGCGCGACAACACCTGGCCAGTGCGGACCACAAGCAGGTTTGAAATCTGTCCAGGGAAAGTGGCTTCAGTCAGGTCGGAACGTACAACCGGAGATGGTAGAATGTGACCTGTAAAAGGAACCATGTTCTGTGCCTAATATCCTTCCGTCTAGCAGGCTTCGGTGTTTTGTTTTGTCCCCGGTTGGGTTGAAAGTGAAGAGAGCAGAGCGAGGACAGCGTTACAACAACTACCATCGACATACACAACAAATCCATACGACCAAAGAGCGCATATACACATACATTTCCACAGCAGACTGTACAAAACCAGGACATCCCGTGTAGCAACCTATATCCCATATACATCATACAACACACAACGTGGACAAACACATCCCACATGCCATACTCACACACACACACACACACAATGTCGGACGCACATGGATCGCGAAGAGCACCTACATCTACTACACGAAACGAGTAGCATGTCTACACATCCATTGCACCATGTTGCACAACACTTGCGGTTTGCAAGCACAGCATCCGTTATACCCCTTCCAACACACCATACTCAAAACACAAACAGCATGGCAGTGAAAACCACAATCGCCAAAGTATAACAAACGAAACAAGAGCTCTGTAACAAAACATAGAAACAAAAAGCAAACAACTACATAACCAATACAAAACAGTGTTCCATTCATATACACAAAAAATAAACATACTCCACAAAAAGTAAAAGAAAAATAACCAATATACTGTCATCCACATGCAACAACAAGCTCGCACTAATACGCTTTAACGGATATTAACAATAAATGGAATACTATCATCAAATTACCATTGGCATACACAGCCAAAAAAGCGCATGTGCACACACCCCATCAGATTAGATTGTACAAAACCAGGAGATACCGTGTAGCAACCAACATCCCATATCTATCACACAACACACCATATGGACGAAATACACCCTACATACATACACACACAAAAATGTCGGACGCACATGGATCGCGAAGAGCAGGCACATCTACTACACGAAACGAGTAGCACGTCCACATTTACATTTCACCGCGTTGCACAATGCTTGCGGTCTGTAATCACAACATTCGTCATCCCCATTCCAACACATACAATACCAAAACACAAACTACACAGCAGAGAAAACCACAATCGAATAGGTGTGACAAACGAAACAGCAGCTCAGCAACGTAGCATAAGAACAACAAGCAAACAACCACATCACCGTACACAACAAATAAAAAACAGTGTTTGTTGCATGCACACAAAAAGCCACACAACTCAATAAAGATAAAGCAACCAATATCATGTCATCCACATACACAAACTAGGTGAGACTAATGCGGTTAAACGAAAATTAACAATAAATTGAATACTATTGTCACCGGGGCGAAACGGCTGACTACCATGGTGCACTCTAGTGGACCGCAGCCTAAGAACGTGACACGATTTCCGGACCTCAGTCTGTATGACATAGGTTACTATCCGACAGACAGTAGCACGGCTGAGTCAAGCAGGAAGAAGATAAAATCAGACCGTCAACTTCACACGGGCTGCTACGTGACAGGGCGCGACAACACCTGGCCAGTGCGGACCACAAGCAGGTTTGAAATCTGTCCAGGGAAAGTGGCTTCAGTCAGGTCGGAACGTACAACCGGAGATGGTAGAATGTGACCTGTAAAAGGAACCATGTTCTGTGCCTAATATCCTTCCGTCTAGCAGGCTTCGGTGTTTTGTTTTGTCCCCGGTTGGGTTGAAAGTGAAGAGAGCAGAGCGAAGGCAGCGTTACAACAACTACCATCGACATACACAACAAATCCATACGACCAAAGAGCGCATATACACATACATTTCCACAGCAGACTGTACAAAACAAGGACATCCCGTGTAGCAACCTATATCCCATATACATCATACAACACACAACGTGGACAAACACATCCCACATGCCATACTCACACACACACACACACACACACACAATGTCGGACGCACATGGATCGCGAAGAGCACCTACATCTACTACACGAAACGAGTAGCATGTCTACACATCCATTGCACCATGTTGCACAACACTTGCGGTTTGCAAGCACAGCATCCGTTATACCCCTTCCAACACACCATACTCAAAACACAAACAGCATGGCAGTGAAAACCACAATCGCCAAAGTATAACAAACGAAACAAGAGCTCTGTAACAAAACATAGAAACAAAAAGCAAACAACTACATAACCAATACAAAACAGTGTTCCATTCATATACACAAAAAATAAACATACTCCACAAAAAGTAAAAGAAAAATAACCAATATACTGTCATCCACATGCAACAACAAGCTCGCACTAATACGCTTTAACGGATATTAACAATAAATGGAATACTATCATCAAAATACCATTGGCATACACAGCCAAAAAAGCGCATGTGTACACACCCCATCAGATTAGATTGTACAAAACCAGGAGATACCGTGTAGCAACCAACATCCCATATCTATCACACAACACACCATATGGACGAAATACAACCTACATACATACACACACAAAAATGTCGGACGCACATGGATCGCGAAGAGCAGGCACATCTACTACACGAAACGAGTAGCACGTCCACATTTCCATTTCACCGCGTTGCACAATGCTTGCGGTCTGTAATCACAACATTCGTCATCCCCATTCCAACACATACAATACCAAAACACAAACTACACAGCAGAGAAAACCACAATCGAATAGGTGTGACAAACGAAACAGCAGCTCAGCAACGTAGCATAAGAACAACAAGCAAACAACCACATCACCGTACACAACAAATAAAAAAACAGTATTCGTTGCATGCACACAAAAAGCCACACAACTCAATAAAGATAAAGCAACCAATATCATGTCATCCACATACACAAACTAGGTGAGACTAATGCGGTTAAACGAAAATTAACAATAAATTGAATACTATTGTCACCGGGGCGAAACGGCTGACTACCATGGTGCACTCTAGTGGACCGCAGCCTAAGAACGTGACACGATTTCCGGACCTCAGTCTGTATGACATAGGTTACTATCCGACAGACAGTAGCACGGCTGAGTCAAGCAGGAAGAAGATAAAATCAGACCGTCAACTTCACACGGGCTGCTACGTGACAGGGCGCGACAACACCTGGCCAGTGCGGACCACAAGCAGGTTTGAAATCTGTCCAGGGAAAGTGGCTTCAGTCAGGTCGGAACGTACAACCGGAGATGGTAGAATGTGACCTGTAAAACGAACCATGTTCTGTGCCTAATATCCTTCCGTCTAGCAGGCTTCGGTGTTTTGTTTTGTCCCCGGTTGGGTTGAAAGTGAAGAGAGCAGAGCGAAGGCAGCGTTACAACAACTACCATCGACATACACAACAAATCCATACGACCAAAGAGCGCATACACACATACATTTCCACAGCAGACTGTACAAAACCAGGACATCCCGTGTAGCAACCTATATCCCATATACATCATACAACACACAACGTGGACAAACACATCCCACATGCCATACTCACACACACACACACACACACACAATGTCGGACGCACATGGATCGCGAAGAGCACCTACATCTACTACACGAAACGAGTAGCATGTCTACACATCCATTGCACCATGTTGCACAACACTTGCGGTTTGCAAGCACAGCATCCGTTATACCCCTTCCAACACACCATACTCAAAACACAAACAGCATGGCAGTGAAAACCACAATCGCCAAAGTATAGCAAACGAAACAAGAGCTCTGTAACAAAACATAGAAACAAAAAGCAAACAACTACATAACCAATACAAAACAGTGTTCCATTCATATACACAAAAAATAAACATACTCCACAAAAAGTAAAAGAAAAATAACCAATATACTGTCATCCACATGCAACAACAAGCTCGCACTAATACGCTTTAACGGATATTAACAATAAATGGAATACTATCATCAAATTACCATTGGCATACACAGCCAAAAAAGCGCATGTGCACACACCCCCATCAGATTAGATTGTACAAAACCAGGAGATACCGTGTAGCAACCAACATCCCATATCTATCACACAACACACCATATGGACGAAATACACCCTACATACATACACACACAAAAATGTCGGACGCACATGGATCGCGAAGAGCAGGCACATCTACTACACGAAACGAGTAGCACGTCCACATTTACATTTCACCGCGTTGCACAATGCTTGCGGTCTGTAATCACAACATTCGTCATCCCCATTCCAACACATACAATACCAAAACACAAACCACACAGCAGAGAAAACCACAATCGAATAGGTGTGACAAACGAAACAGCAGCTCAGCAACGTAGCATAAGAACAACAAGCAAACAACCACATCACCGTACACAACAAATAAAAAAACAGTGTTTGTTGCATGCACACAAAAAGCCACACAACTCAATAAAGATAAAGCAACCAATATCATGTCATCCACATACACAAACTAGGTGAGACTAATGCGGTTAAACGAAAATTAACAATAAATTGAATACTATTGTCACCGGGGCGAAACGGCTGACTACCATGGTGCACTCTAGTGGACCGCAGCCTAAGAACGTGACACGATTTCCGGACCTCAGTCTGTATGACATAGGTTACTATCCGACAGACAGTAGCACGGCTGAGTCAAGCAGGAAGAAGATAAAATCAGACCGTCAACTTCACACGGGCTGCTACGTGACAGGGCGCGACAACACCTGGCCAGTGCGGACCACAAGCAGGTTTGAAATCTGTCCAGGGAAAGTGGCTTCAGTCAGGTCGGAACGTACAACCGGAGATGGTAGAATGTGACCTGTAAAAGGAACCATGTTCTGTGCCTAATATCCTTCCGTCTAGCAGGCTTCGGTGTTTGGTTTTGTCCCCGGTTGGGTTGAAAGTGAAGAGAGCAGAGCGAAGGCAGCGTTACAACAACTACCATCGACATACACAACAAATCCATACGACCAAAGAGCGCATATACACATACATTTCCACAGCAGACTGTACAAAACAAGGACATCCCGTGTAGCAACCTATATCCCATATACATCATACAACACACAACGTGGACAAACACATCCCACATGCCATACTCACACACACACACACACACACAATGTCGGACGCACATGGATCGCGAAGAGCACCTACATCTACTACACGAAACGAGTAGCATGTCTACACATCCATTGCACCATGTTGCACAACACTTGCGGTTTGCAAGCACAGCATCCGTTATACCCCTTCCAACACACCATACTCAAAACACAAACAGCATGGCAGTGAAAACCACAATCGCCAAAGTATAACAAACGAAACAAGAGCTCTGTAACAAAACATAGAAACAAAAAGCAAACAACTACATAACCAATACAAAACAGTGTTCCATTCATATACACAAAAAATAAACATACTCCACAAAAAGTAAAAGAAAAATAACCAATATACTGTCATCCACATGCAACAACAAGCTCGTACTAATACGCTTTAACGGATATTAACAATAAATGGAATACTATCATCAAAATACCATTGGCATACACAGCCAAAAAAGCGCATGTGCACACACCCCATCAGATTAGATTGTACAAAACCAGGAGATACCGTGTAGCAACCAACATCCCATATCTATCACACAACACACCATATGGACGAAATACACCCTACATACATACACACACAAAAATGTCGGACGCACATGGATCGCGAAGAGCAGGCACATCTACTACACGAAACGAGTAGCACGTCCACATTTCCATTTCACCGCGTTGCACAATGCTTGCGGTCTGTAATCACAACATTCGTCATCCCCGTTCCAACACATACAATACCAAAACACAAACTACACAGCAGAGAAAACCACAATCGAATAGGTGTGACAAACGAAACAGCAGCTCAGCAACGTAGCATAAGAACAACAAGCAAACAACCACATCACCGTACACAACAAATAAAAAAACAGTGTTTGTTGCATGCACACAAAAAGCCACACAACTCAATAAAGATAAAGCAACCAATATCATGTCATCCACATACACAAACTAGGTGAGACTAATGCGGTTAAACGAAAATTAACAATAAATTGAATACTATTGTCACCGGGGCGAAACGGCTGACTACCATGGTGCACTCTAGTGGACCGCAGCCTAAGAACGTGACACGATTTCCGGACCTCAGTCTGTATGACATAGGTTACTATCCGACAGACAGTAGCACGGCTGAGTCAAGCAGGAAGAAGATAAAATCAGACCGTCAACTTCACACGGGCTGCTACGTGACAGGGCGCGACAACACCTGGCCAGTGCGGACCACAAGCAGGTTTGAAATCTGTCCAGGGAAAGTGGCTTCAGTCAGGTCGGAACGTACAACCGGAGATGGTAGAATGTGACCTGTAAAAGGAACCATGTTCTGTGCCTAATATCCTTCCGTCTAGCAGGCTTCGGTGTTTTGTTTTGTCCCCGGTTGGGTTGAAAGTGAAGAGAGCAGAGCGAAGGCAGCGTTACAACAACTACCATCGACATACACAACAAATCCATACGACCAAAGAGCGCATACACACATACATTTCCACAGCAGACTGTACAAAACCAGGACATCCCGTGTAGCAACCTATATCCCATATACATCATACAACACACAACGTGGACAAACACATCCCACATGCCATACACACACACACACACACAATGTCGGACGCACATGGATCGCGAAGAGCACCTACATCTACTACACGAAACGAGTAGCATGTCTACACATCCATTGCACCATGTTGCACAACACTTGCGGTTTGCAAGCACAGCATCCGTTATACCCCTTCCAACACACCATACTCAAAACACAAACAGCATGGCAGTGAAAACCACAATCGCCAAAGTATAACAAACGAAACAAGAGCTCTGTAACAAAACATAGAAACAAAAAGCAAACAACTACATAACCAATACAAAACAGTGTTCCATTCATATACACAAAAAATAAACATACTCCACAAAAAGTAAAAGAAAAATAACCAATATACTGTCATCCACATGCAACAACAAGCTCGCACTAATACGCTTTAACGGATATTAACAATAAATGGAATACTATCATCAAAATACCATTGGCATACACAGCCAAAAAAAGCGCATGTGCACACACCCCATCAGATTAGATTGTACAAAACCAGGAGATACCGTGTAGCAACCAACATCCCATATCTATCACACAACACACCATATGGACGAAATACAACCTACATACATACACACACAAAAATGTCGGACGCACATGGATCGCGAAGAGCAGGCACATCTACTACACGAAACGAGTAGCACGTCCACATTTCCATTTCACCGCGTTGCACAATGCTTGCGGTCTGTAATCACAACATTCGTCATCCCCATTCCAACACATACAATACCAAAACACAAACTACACAGCAGAGAAAACCACAATCGAATAGGTGTGACAAACGAAACAGCAGCTCAGCAACGTAGCATAAGAACAACAAGCAAACAACCACATCACCGTACACAACAAATAAAAAACAGTGTTTGTTGCATGCACACAAAATGCCGCACAACTCAATAAAGATAAAGCAACCAATATCATGTCATCCACATACACAAACTAGGTGAGACTAATGCGGTTAAACGAAAATTAACAATAAATTGAATACTATTGTCACCGGGGCGAAACGGCTGACTACCATGGTGCACTCTAGTGGACCGCAGCCTAAGAACGTGACACGATTTCCGGACCTCAGTCTGTATGACATAGGTTACTATCCGACAGACAGTAGCACGGCTGAGTCAAGCAGGAAGAAGATAAAATCAGACCGTCAACTTCACACGGGCTGCTACGTGACAGGGCGCGACAACACCTGGCCAGTGCGGACCACAAGCAGGTTTGAAATCTGTCCAGGGAAAGTGGCTTCAGTCAGGTCGGAACGTACAACCGGAGATGGTAGAATGTGACCTGTAAAAGGAACCATGTTCTGTGCCTAATATCCTTCCGTCTAGCAGGCTTCGGTGTTTTGTTTTGTCCCCGGTTGGGTTGAAAGTGAAGAGAGCAGAGCGAAGGCAGCGTTACAACAACTACCATCGACATACACAACAAATCCATACGACCAAAGAGCGCATATACACATACATTTCCACAGCAGACTGTACAAAACCAGGACATCCCGTGTAGCAACCTATATCCCATATACATCATACAACACACAACGTGGACAAACACATCCCACATGCCATACTCACACACACACACACACACACACAATGTCGGACGCACATGGATCGCGAAGAGCACCTACATCTACTACACGAAACGAGTAGCATGTCTACACATCCATTGCACCATGTTGCACAACACTTGCGGTTTGCAAGCACAGCATCCGTTATACCCCTTCCAACACACCATACTCAAAACACAAACAGCATGGCAGTGAAAACCACAATCGCCAAAGTATAACAAACGAAACAAGAGCTCTGTAACAAAACATAGAAACAAAAAGCAAACAACTACATAATACAAAACAGTGTTCCATTCATATACACAAAAAATAAACATACTCCACAAAAAGTAAAAGAAAAATAACCAAGACACTGTCATCCACATGCAACAACAAGCTCGCACTAATACGCTTCAACGGATATTAACAATAAATGGAATACTATCATCAAAATACCATTGGCATACACAGCCAAAATAGCGCATGTGCACACACCCATCAGATTAGATTGTACAAAACCAGGAGATACCGTGTAGCAACCAACATCCCATATCTATCACACAACACACCATATGGACGAAATACACCCTACATACATACACAAACAAATGTCGGACGCACATGGATCGCGAAGAGCACGTAGTTCTACTACACGAAACGAGTAGCACGTCCACATTTCCATTTCACCGCGTTGCACAATGCTTGCGGTCTGTAATCACAACATTCGTCATCCCCGTTCCAACATACAATACCAAAACACAAACTACACAGCAGAGAAAACCACAATCGAATAGGTGTGACAAACGAAACAGCAGCTCAGCAACGTTGCGTAAGAACAACAAGCAAACAACCACATCACCGTGCACAACAAATAAAAAACTGTGTTTGTTGCATGCACATAGAAAGCCACACAACTCAAGAAAGATAAAGCAACCAATATCATGTCATCCACATACACAAACTAGATGAGACTAATGCGGTTAAACGAAAATTAACAATAAATTGAATACTATTGTCACCGGGGCGAAACGGCTGACTACCATGGTGCACTCTAGTGGACCGCAGCCTAAGAACGTGACACGATTTCCGGACCTCAGTCTGTATGACATACGTTACTATCCGACAGACAGTAGCACGGCTGAGTCAAGCAGGAAGAAGATAAAATCAGACCGTCAACTTCACACGGGCTGCTACGTGACAGGGCGCGACAACATCTGGCCAGTGTGGACCACAAGCAGGTTTGAAATCTGTCCAGGGAAAGTGGCTTCAGTCAGGTCGGAACGTACAACCGGAGATGGTAGAATGTGACCTGTAAAAGGAACCATATTCTGTGCCTAATATCCTTCGGTCTAGCACGCTTCGGTGTTTTGTTTTGTCCCCGGTTGGGTTGAAAGTGAAGAGAGCAGAGCGAGGGCAGCGTTACAACAACTACCATCGACATACACAACAAATCCATACGACCAAAGAGCGCATATACACATACATTACCACAGCAGACTGTACAAAACCAGGACATCCCGTGTAGCAACCTATATCCCATATACATCATACAACACACAACGTGGACAAACACATCCCATACACACACACACACACACACACACAATGTCGGACGCACATGGATCGCGAAGAGCACCTACATCTACTACACAAAACGAGTAGCACGTCCACACTTCCATTTCACCGCGTTGCACAACACTTGCGGTTTGCAAGCACACCATCCGTTATACCCCTTCCAACACACCATACTCAAAACACAAACAGCATGGCAGTGAAAACCACAATCGCCAAAGTATAACAAACGAAACAAGAGCTCTGTAACAAAACATAGAAACAAAAAGCAAACAACTACATAACCAATACAAAACAGTGTTCCATTCATATACACAAAAAATAAACATACTCCACAAAAAGTAAAAGAAAAATAACCAATATACTGTCATCCACATGCAACAACAAGCTCGCACTAATACGCTTTAACGGATATTAACAATAAATGGAATACTATCATCAAATTACCATTGGCATACACAGCCAAAAAAGCGCATGTGCACACACCCATCAGATTAGATTGTACAAAACCAGGAGATACCGTGTAGCAACCAACATCCCATATCTATCACACAACACACCATATGGACGAAATACACCCTACATACATACACACACAAAAATGTCGGACGCACATGGATCGCGAAGAGCAGGCACATCTACTACACGAAACGAGTAGCACGTCCACATTTCCATTTCACCGCGTTGCACAATGCTTGCGGTCTGTAATCACAACATTCGTCATCCCCGTTCCAACATACAATACCAAAACACAAACTACACAGCAGAGAAAACCACAATCGAATAGGTGTGACAAACGAAACAGCAGCTCAGCAACGTAGCATAAGAACAACAAGCAAACAACCACATCACCGTACACAACAAATAAAAAACAGTGTTTGTTGCATGCACACAGAATGCCGCACAACTCAATAAAGATAAAGCAACCAATATCATGTCATCCACATACACAAACTAGGTGAGACTAATGCGGTTAAACGAAAATTAACAATAAATTGAACACTATTGTCACCGGGGCGAAACGGCTGACTACCATGGTGCACTCTAGTGGACCGCAGCCTAAGAACGTGACACGATTTCCGGACCTCAGTCTGTATGACATAGGTTACTATCCGACAGACAGTAGCACGGCTGAGTCAAGCAGGAAGAAGATAAAATCAGACCGTCAACTTCACACGGGCTGCTACGTGACAGGGCGCGACAACACCTGGCCAGTGCGGACCACAAGCAGGTTTGAAATCTGTCCAGGGAAAGTGGCTTCAGTCAGGTCGGAACGTACAACCGGAGATGGTAGAATGTGACCTGTAAAAGGAACCATGTTCTGTGCCTAATATCCTTCCGTCTAGCAGGCTTCGGTGTTTTGTTTTGTCCCCGGTTGGGTTGAAAGTGAAGAGAGCAGAGCGAGGGCAGCGTTACAACAACTACCATCGACATACACAACAAATCCATACGACCAAAGAGCGCATATACACATACATTTCCACAGCAGACTGTACAAAACCAGGACATCCCGTGTAGCAACCTATATCCCATATACATCATACAACACACAACGTGGACAAACACATCCCACATGCCATACTCACACACACACACACACACACACAATGTCGGACGCACATGGATCGCGAAGAGCACCTACATCTACTACACGAAACGAGTAGCATGTCTACACATCCATTGCACCATGTTGCACAACACTTGCGGTTTGCAAGCACAGCATCCGTTATACCCCTTCCAACACACCATACTCAAAACACAAACAGCATGGCAGTGAAAACCACAATCGCCAAAGTATAACAAACGAAACAGGAGCTCTGTAACAAAACATAGAAACAAAAAGCAAACAACTACATAACCAATACAAAACAGTGTTCCATTCATATACACAAAAAATAAACATACTCCACAAAAAGTAAAAGAAAAATAACCAATATACTGTCATCCACATGCAACAACAAGCTCGCACTAATACGCTTTAACGGATATTAACAATAAATGGAATACTATCATCAAATTACCATTGGCATACACAGCCAAAAAAGCGCATGTGCACACACCCCCATCAGATTAGATTGTACAAAACCAGGAGATACCGTGTAGCAACCAACATCCCATATCTATCACACAACACACCATATGGACGAAATACACCCTACATACATACACACACAAAAATGTCGGACGCACATGGATCGCGAAGAGCAGGCACATCTACTACACGAAACGAGTAGCACGTCCACATTTCCATTTCACCGCGTTGCACAATGCTTGCGGTCTGTAATCACAACATTCGTCATCCCCGTTCCAACACATACAATACCAAAACACAAACTACACAGCAGAGAAAACCACAATCGAATAGGTGTGACAAACGAAACAGCAGCTCAGCAACGTAGCATAAGAACAACAAGCAAACAACCACATCACCGTACACAACAAATAAAAAAACAGTGTTTGTTGCATGCACACAGAATGCCGCACAACTCAATAAAGATAAAGCAACCAATATCATGTCAGCCACATACACAAACTAGGTGAGACTAATGCGGTTAAACGAAAATTAACAATAAATTGAATACTATTGTCACCGGGGCGAAACGGCTGACTACCATGGTGCACTCTAGTGGACCGCAGCCTAAGAACGTGACACGATTTCCGGACCTCAGTCTGTATGACATAGGTTACTATCCGACAGACAGTAGCACGGCTGAGTCAAGCAGGAAGAAGATAAAATCAGACCGTCAACTTCACACGGGCTGCTACGTGACAGGGCGCGACAACACCTGGCCAGTGCGGACCACAAGCAGGTTTGAAATCTGTCCAGGGAAAGTGGCTTCAGTCAGGTCGGAACGTACAACCGGAGATGGTAGAATGTGACCTGTAAAAGGAACCATGTTCTGTGCCTAATATCCTTCCGTCTAGCAGGCTTCGGTGTTTTGTTTTGTCCCCGGTTGGGTTGAAAGTGAAGAGAGCAGAGCGAGGCAGCGTTACAACAACTACCATCGACATACACAACAAATCCATACGACCAAAGAGCGCATATACACATACATTTCCACAGCAGACTGTACAAAACCAGGACATCCCGTGTAGCAACCTATATCCCATATACATCATACAACACACGTATCTAAGGCTATTGCCGTAAAAATGAGTTACAATAGGGCTTGGAAACGAGATCGGGGTTGCAGGGTAGGCGAACCGTGAAGGGAAGAAACTCCCAACACAAGAGCCACTGATTTCGTTTTCCTGGGCATGTCATTAATTCTTTATCGCCTTGCGGACCCTAGCCGAAGCCAGCTTCGATGTGAGGACCTTTGTTTATCTTGATTAAGTCGTTGCCTGGCCTTTTCCTTTTCTTCCACCCAGACTCCGCTCGCGTAAACTGCGCACGTCACATGAGTCAGTAGGGTGACACGCGCAACACGTGGCCGTCATCGTTGACTAGCGCGTGATATAACGGTGCTGAACGGTTCACTTCTTCTTGCGCCATAAACAAAGAGTTAAACACGCCCATTGCTTACACTGTGTTCGCAAAAGTCAGTCAGCGGTGGTCAAATGTAACTAGTCTTTATGTCTTCTGATCTAATATGTCCGGTTTCATTTCAAAGGAAACAGACGATTGTCTTCACATCGCGTGAGAAGTTTATTATTTGAGCAACTCTCAACGAGCACATGGTGACCACCGAGATGGCTTTCACATGATACTAGGCGACCAACCCGTGCGTTGATATCCCCAACAAGAACAACAATATCGTATCTGCAAGCTGTTCTCAGGAGCAGGTGAAATTCACAATACAACTGTTCTTGACCGAGTCACAATTGCAGTGCTCTGGGGCGCACGCTGGGATCATCGAAGCCGAACTGCACACAATCGGTGGTTAATCCGTAAACACCAGTCCAACAATGGGCGCTCGGTATTGCTACTTAGTTTGACGCCAACTCCAGCCAAGCCTGCCGCAGTTGCTTCTATGTCATCAGATAAACGCAGGTGGAATATGGCTAGAGTGGTCGGTGGGAGATCGCAACCCAATGACGATAGTGAGATCTGACAACCGGATATCGAAAAGACAGCAAATAGCGAATAAGAAGAAGTACAAGTTGCACGTGAGAGCACGCTGTCGCCTGATCTGCATGTGTGCGCACATTTATGCCAGAAGCAACGAGGATCCAGGCCGAAGGATGGCGACTGGGTAAGTTCTATGGTCTTCAATGAAACAATCGGGAGTTGAATCATGAAAACAAGAATCGATTACTAACGGATACAAATGATCGGTAACGAATGGTCGGCTGGCGTGTGAAGATGTGGAAGAAGCGGAAGCAAATGCAATTAAGTGCGGTATAGCAGAAGTACGATCCATGGTTTTGTGAATCGTGATCGCACACACATCACACATTTAGACAAATCTGCACTCCCCCCATACAAATGGTTTAGTTAATATGAACGGTTTTAGTTGCGCAACAATGCGTATTTTCCACATCAACATTTTCACTTGCATGCGCTAGAGTGTATCACGCGATTTTCATTGATAAAAGAGAAGAAGTTGGTGAACGAACTAGAAAGGTGGTATTGAGTCCAAACCGAATGAAGAGACGTGGAACCAAAATCGTGTCGTCGACAGATACCGAATGACGACTTACGAACCTCCTGAAGATATGTATTGTTGACCGTAGCGGTGCGCAATTCAACTCCCTCTCTACTGAACATCTGTACGCACAAGAGTGTACATTGTGTGAATAGCGACTTATACTTACTTATTATTGGGCATATGCACAGTGACGCGTGCAATTACTGTTCGGATGCATGAACCGACGAGACCAAACAGACATGATCAAGTTACGTAATTGCATCTTAGTTTGTGGGAAGTAGTGGGGCATCAGCAGTACGCGGGTACGCAGTGCCGACGCTTCGCTGCCGAGCAACCACCACCGGTCGCACTTTGGCTAAGGATACTGCGAGGGCCGTCCGGTCTCTACGCAGACTTGAATCTGCGCCCTCGGATTACAATGCATGCTTGTGATCGTTAAGGCTACGCGCCGGTTCGAAAGTAGTGAGGCCCATATTGAATCGACTACGGTTTATATGAGGTAATAGGTTTATGCGAAATCATGTTATTCCAATGGTATGGTTAAAAAATCTTTAGGTTTAGATACAAACATAAGAATCCTGTATGGAATGATGTCGGTGAGACGAACCTCGTCGGAAGTGAGATGGCCAGCCGCAAGTGAATCAACGGAATCGTCTGCCAGAGCGGATGCAAGCGACACTTCGGCCACAACCCTTGGACAATTCAAACTCGACCTCGTAGGTCGACCCAAGGTCGACCCTGTCTCCGAGGTAGTGGATTGCGATTGTGTAGGTGAAGAAGCGTACAATGGAAGGGCCTTTGGGACATCTGGCAATGGAGTGGGATGGCCATCGACCATTTCCGTTTGTGTGCGTGTATGCGGTGACATACAGCGATGAAGGAATGGTAATGAAACCAAGGGAACAACGAACCGCCGGGACAAGCTTGTTCGACAATACTGTGATGGGTCGATAAGATCGTCCACGGTCACTGGACTCGGCATATGCATCACCGGTGGCGGACAAACTTGGGGTAGGGTGCCGTTAGACAGCTGTTTGAGTCTGTTTTGAGACATCTGCCGCAGCCACTTTATGGCAAAGTAATAATCCTGTATGACCGTGGAGGGGGCACAAAAATAAGTTGGTATGAAGCAATTCTCTATTTTAATCAAGGATCACAAAAGGAAGATACCACTGAGCACACTCGCGAAGGGAACCGGTAAGAAAATCTACTCAGGTGGTCTGATAAAAAAGTAATGTTGCGAAATAAAACACATGGGAATTACAAACTTTACAGGCCGTAAAGAAAATGGCGTCCGCCTGGCCTGAACCGTCCCACTATTCACCAACTAAGTGAAAAAGCAGTATAGGTGAGTATATGATGAGGTGACTGCTTGGTACAAAATTAACAAATTCTCTGCGCTCTAAGCGCCACTTCGAAACCGTGCGCATAAAAACGCACAAGGCTAACTCTCAACGAAGTAGATCTGCTCGGCGAGCAGAACTGAGCCTACTGATCCAATGGGCACTTACAATCGAAAAGAGAGCATCCCCAGGATAGTTGGCAACCTTGCGGATGGGGAACAGTAAACCAGGATCGTGGACAATCGGATGGACAAACAAGTGTACTTAAGAATGCGTTCGATCAGTCGGTAAGCTAAATGTATACGGCGCCGAGGTAAAATCGCCTGAGCATTGTTACTTGACCAGAAAACACGTTGGTACCACAGAATGAACAACCATTTTATGAACGATCTACAGAGTGGCATATAACAAAAGTGCAGTCGATCTGTGTCTATATCCGATACAATGTACGATGGACACTTAAAGGGTCTACGGTGTAAGCTGTGTTTGAGGACAATGATGGAGAGGACGAAATGAGCGTCGCCTTATAGACGTGAGAGCCGAGCTGTGCTAAGCCTTACGCTTGTATACACTGTGCGCAGTCTCTAAGGAGGCTTACCATCGAGTTTAACCTTCAGGTGGCCAACTGGTATGCAATACCTACAATATTCGTAGACGAAAGATAAAAATTGGTCAAAATTTTTTTGCGAACGTTGCAGTGTGAATTAACAGCCATCGAAATGGCAAGAAGAAAGATATGAAGGCAATTGTTTATGGGTACTGTCACTGGTGTGAGCTAACTCGGGTCATAGATGGCAACACGTGAACCAATGAGTTAGCGAAAATCCTGCAGGCCTAAAAGACTAATGAGATAAAACAAGATCCAAATGAACTGCTTTTTTGAAATTTCGACAGACTGCTGTAACTATCCGATACAGTCGAAATGAGGCAACGAGTGTATGGAAAAATCGAAATCATGGCAGTCGAGTATGAAGAAAGGTTAGAGGAGAGCCAAGAACAGGGAAATTAAAAAGGTGCAGTCTCAAAACAGAAGTGTAAAGGCCGACCTAGATAGAGGAAGGAAAATGAAGAAGATTAGAAGACAGGACAGCCGCAGCACTCGCGTCCGATGACTAAGCCACGGCTCTCGACAGTGTGATCAAATATGATCCATGCACAAGAATCCCGTGGGTCGAGTTGCTAAAATCCACAATGCTGAGTATGCAAGAATGTGTAAAGGGACAAAATGACAATCTGTGAACAATAAACAAATGAGCATAAAATAACCGGATGGAAAAGTCGAAACCTAGAAGTGGCTGATTAAACGCAGGGGTGCCAAACGACCCTCCGAATGTACCGTGGCAAGAACTGTCTGAGTGATGATTCGGTCGATAGAGAGACCCCCGTTCAGGATGGCTGAACGCGATGAGTAAATCGTCCGATCAGTCGCTTCATACCATTCTGCCATTCCATGGAATGACCATTAAAATGTTGAAAGTGGGAAAAATCGTCTTTTATTCCCTTCAAACTGCAGTCAGTAGGGATATAAACGGAGGCGATGGAAAGACACCTAGTCTTCAGATAGTACTTAGTAATCCCAATAGAAGTTCGAATTCGCACAGCACATATGAGGCTGTTCACCAGCATCTAGTCGAGTATATTGCTTTCCGCAAGTTTGCTGAAGGCGATACCAACACCGTAAATAAATAAAAATTGACTCAGTATAGTGTAGTCATTTTCAGTAGATTCAGAATCAGGGAGTCGGAGATTAGTAACAACGCTGTTGTTTTGTATACATGTTTCGTAGACACAGCACACATCAATACCAAGAGAGTGAAGAGTGAGAGCTATTGCTGTCTGTTGAGTGATCTGATCCAGAGTGGGGAAGTAAAAAGAACCAGTGTGAAACGAGCCTCTTAGTTTGATGGATGAGCTACATGTATCGATGGCAGTAGCCGCAATGTCAGCGGCATTCTCTTGCTCAGTGGATGGGGAAGAAGCGAGTTGGAGTGAGAGAAGAAAACAAGAAGAGGGAATGTAGTCGACGGAGTCGAAGGCAGTGATCTCCTTTGACTGCCCATTCCAAGGGATGCCTTTGACAACAGTTTGGTCCACAAGGGGAGGCAAAGGGAGATTCGCTTGAAAAACTACACTCAAAGCCTTTGGCTCAATAGCCTGACCCACAAGGCAGTGGGGTTGTAGAGGTCCGCTTGAGGGACTTCATTCGAAGACCAGTTCAATAGTTTGACCCACAAGACAGTGCGGAGCAATTCCAACTCGGGAGTGTGACTGCACAGACTCGTTGGGATCTGCTTGAGGCCTGTCACGTGCATCCTTCGAGGATCTATGGCAACTCATGTGTGTTCTTTGTATAAAGCCTTAAGAAGATGGACACTGGCAGATGTCAACATTTCGTAGTGTCTCTTCAGTGCCAACACAATAACACGAAAATATATACGAAGGTGAGACCAGAACAAGTTAGAACAGGCTAGGCGGCAGGCGTGACACCCCTACGCCCAGGGCAGCCGTAGGCTTACGAACAACTGTTTCCGCACACAGAGTGCGGGTTTGATACGGCTGATCGCGACTGTCTCTGTGAAACGTTGGAAACGGGCGTTAGCATGTCTTAACACAGGACAGAAAGTTTCGACAGTGTGTAAAAGAAGGTCTACATCGAGCTATCATTTAAGGGTGATTTTGCGAATATGAGGACAACGAAGCGAATAACTTCCGCAGTCCAGAGGACTCAGTATCCTGTTGATATCTGCCAGTGTTCGTCTTCATACGGCTTTATTCAAATTACTAAAGGGATCTAATTGTTTCATATGTATTCATCCACAGTAGTATCTTACGCATCTGCGAACACGGCCACCCGCAGGAAAGAGTTGGTGGGTTTGCCCCGATTTGATCAGGGGCTGCTTAGCTTGAAGGGGCGATGGCAAACGATTAAGCACCGGAAGGTGCCTTCCCACCACCAGGGAGAGTGCGTGACGCTCGTGTTCTACACCAAGCGAGCTGTGAGCATATAACCCGTAGACCTGTTCGCTCACATGGCTAGGTTTCAAAAGAAGAGGCCCATGGACCCCTCTCTAGCATCCGAGGAGGATTGAGACTGAGTTCATCTGACCCCTAACCATTAACCTGTCTGGTATGAGTGGCTCTGAAGGCACTTGGAAAGTGTCAGGAAGCGTAGATCAATGAGTCACGGAGGTAAGCAAACCATCGCACCATATAGATCCATATGCCACTGATAAACTTGCACCGTTGTTTATATTTACCGGTCATTAATGTCCCTATCACCATGATCATGCCTATGAAAGTGTGTCTTGCATTGTGGAGAAAAAAACATTTGTTTATAATAATAGATCAACGGTTAGCAAGACGTAGCTACCCATGGGGAGTTCGTAAATAGCTCAATTTCTTATGATCCTACTGTTCGATATAGAAATTTACAGTAAATGTATGCGTAATTTCAGCACAGAATGTCATCCGGCACACTTTTGGCTCAGACGATTACAGGAACAGAAACAGAGAGACAAAAATCACCAGAGAGCAAGCCAATGACACAGGCCATGATGAGTTCAAGTATGAAGTTCACGAAGTCTGTTGAACGGTCCGGTTTGTGTCAACCAGTGTGTGGGCACCACCTAAAGTGATCGCCCAATTGCACCTTAAAGGCGGTCTTACTGGGCATGTAACATGTGAGTTGCCAGGCAGTGAAGCCGATAGAGTGAATAGAAAGGGCAATGTACATCATTTCAAGTTGCAAACCAAGTGCCGCACGCGATGGTGAACAGATTATGGTATCAATAAGTGTCTGGTATGGACGTCGGCCCCGGTAGCAGCCATTGTAGCGCAATAAAATGAGTAGACTTCAACAGCAAGATTCATGTTTGTTTACAATGCAGGATATCAGCAAACAAAGCTAAACAGGGATCACAGAGCAAGTCGGAATAATCCAAAGTGATCCGCAACGAGAACAACCAGCTGACCAGTCGGTTGCTGGCTCCGTGGCATGAATGAAGCATCCTTAAGTACACGAGAGATAAGTTACTTTCGGATATGCTACCTATACTCACTTGAATATACGGATTTGAAACCACGAGGGGACGGAGGTACATGAGCACAACCCCGATTTTTTCATACCGAGACATCCAACCGCCAGTGTCGGGATCAACAGGTTCATCCGAGTTGGAATCGACACTCAGTGTATCGAAGTTATTATCCATATTAGGATTAGGTGAAGATGAACGTGTTCCAAAAGAGGCCCGGAGTGGAGAAACCGGTTGAGAAGTAAAGAATGGTAGGCGAGAGTTAAATGCTTGTGCGGCTGATAAACCGAGGTAGTTAATCGCATTGACACGTTGGGTGAGGAAAGGGAATGGAACCGCAGCAGGTGTGCGCACGTTGGCAGACGTAAGCGGGGAAAGCAATCTGGGGTCGAGGGAGCCGAGAGGGAATTTTGCATTGCTGGAAGTAAGAGAAGACCGCTGCTGAAACACAACTGAGTTAGCTCAAATCATACAGTAGATAAACAACCAAGTGTTACTGACTGGTGTGAAGACAGAAAGGAAACCCCATTGTGGTTCGAGTAACAGTAAGAAAAGCTGTGAAAAGTGGGGCAGATAGTGAGGCGATCGGTCAGCGATAATGAGTAAAATGGGGATGCAACTAAGTGACTACGGTAATGAATAGGTAGCATGCGAACAATGACGGAGAGCGCTAAGATTCAAAGTTATTTCTTAGCGAACTCATGGCGTGATACTGCGACGAGCCATCTCCAGCTGCGCCACAAGATAAAGTTCGATTATTTTAGCCATTGGAATCGCGTCCAAGTAGAGTGACGTAAGTAGCTGACTCCCAATGCTGAGCTCTACCAACTGTTTCAGTCTCGTTTCCACTCTTCATGGTGAGATAGCCATACACACACACACACACACACACACACATATATATATATATATATATATATATATATATATATATATATATATATATATAGGAAAAGAGAGAGAGATGTCGCACATAAAGCCAGGGGCGCAGTTAACACATGCAGATAATTATGCCACTACAGTGCCAAATTTGTGGGGAACGTTTACCACATAAGTCCAGAAGGCACTGTCGAGTCTTCGGAGTAAACACGGCGTATTCGCTTGAACGCGGTCTTGGTATGTAGTCGGATTAATGGTTGCCATTCCAGTAAAAAAGTTTTAGGCTCAAAATATATTTATTCATATATCTTGGTGGGGCCTTCGAATTCGGCCGTTGCTGTTCTTCCTAAAATATTATTTTGTACTACGGACCGCGGATTTTTACATTTCATTTGCATTTCTGATACAATTTAGTTTTTGAGCTAGTAGCAAGATCAAGCATGTTCTACTCTACCAAACTTTTAAAAACATTACGGTTTCCTGCCCTAAGGTGGTCGCAAAGTCAGGAATGTCTTTAAACAAATTGCGAGGAAACAAGTTGGAAAAAAGCGAAAGCATCGTACTGGTTAGCAATATGGACACAGTCGTTGTTCTATCGATCAAGCGCCAGTCTCAGTGATACTTTCCAGTAATGTGCGTTCGGTTTTTGGTAAAATTGATGATCGCAGTGAAAAAATGCAGCGAAATGAGTATGTAAATACAAGAAGCATTCTGTCACAAGAAAGTTGCTTACGTACTGATGTGGAAAAGGGGGTTATTCAGCTCGATGGTTATTTCCCCATCATATCTGACCGCCACGGAAAGTCCAAGTTTCGTGGTGGTGACGTTATAACTTACGTTAGTCAGCATTAGTGCAATTCGGCAACCGTACTTATCACATACTTAGTGACCTCCATAAGATGCCATTTAATAGCATGCAGACCGAAGTTCTTAAGTGGCTATCAATCGATCATCGCTGGAGACGTCTACACTGCTCCTGACAAGTTTGTGTAAGGACCAAGTGCCTTCGATGATGCAGTTGATATTATATTGTTCCATCTGTATTGTTGCTGGCGCGCCTAACAGAAAGGACAAAACATTCCTGCGGACACTTGGCTTGGTAGATCTAGTGACCTTTTCGACCAAACATGATACCCAGTTGGACACTGTATACACAAAGAAACGCCAGTTGTTTACCACAGAGGAACGGGCTTCACTGAGCAGCTCAGACAAGTGTTTTAAAATGGTGTCCAATCATACACAGTAAATCTAATTTTCTCACGCTGACTAGGCACCCTTACAAGATCATCAAAAGGCGAAATTGCTCCTTTGAAAATGTCATAAGGCTCCAGACGATATTTTCTTTAATTGCTTTTCTGACCTTTAACGACGAATCAAATATTGCTTGTTGAGACGACCTACCTAAGGGCATACGGATTTTTATCATCACTGCTAAAGCGTCTTCGAAGGATGAAAGAACGAGCTTACAGATGCAAGATGGCTACTCATGTCAAGACCTTAACTACTGCAATTAAATCTGAGATAAAAAGGTAAAACCACCTGTACATCGAAGCGGTTCTAGGCACTCATAACTGTTGTGATTTATGGGGGCTTTTGGGGCAGCTCTGTGGTAAGAGTGTCAGCAGTCAAAGCCATGAAGTGGATGTGGACAAAGTGCATTCTCAGTTTAGTTCTGTCCCACCAAGCTCATCCCCCCTGCTCTCCTTCATCAGCTCAAATCCAGCTGTGCTCTTCGATCAAAGCAACGTTCACAAGGAAGTCAAAATATTGGTCATACAAAACTAGTGATCCGGATGCTCTGCGAAGGAGCAGTAGTCTTGAAAGAGTGTGCTGATTCCCTCAAAATAACTTTAGCAGGTATTTTTAACGAACGCCTCAATAATGGTGTGATCCCTGACAGTTGGAGATGGACCCAGTACCTAAAAATCGACCTCAAAGTATCGCCAGATTGCGTGTACATTTGTGCGTCTGAAAGTTTTCGAAAAACGGTTAATTCTGCGGATTTTTACAGCTACTCCTGCGGACGATATTTATCAGTTTGCATGTAGTCCCTAGCGCACAACATTGGATGCAGTGGCATATCTTGTTCGTTCTATAGCGCCTGCATTAGACCAAAAATAAAAACCTGGAGGGCTTCTCTTCCTTGATCATTGGATTGGCTTTAGGAGCCTGATTAGATCAATGTTGCTCAACCTGATATACGAGAATGAAGTTTACTCGGGTGTGTGTAATCCGTGCGTGACTATTTAACGGATCCTACTCACTTCACCAATTTAAACGGTAAGAAATCCTGTCTTCCGCGCCGATTGTGGTGTTCTGCAGGAAGCCATCCTGGCACCGTTTCTATTTTCCTTATATCTTGAACGCTTCCCTGTACAAACCACGTGCACGGATGAATGGCTCCCACTACTCAGGATTCTATACCACTGCAACGTGAATTGGAAGATCTGGTGGAGTGGTCTTGATCCAGATCCCCTACACTTGACGCTTCAAAATAAAGCGACGCAATAGTTACTTATATTCGTGACGATAAGTTACAGTCCCTCCTAGAGAGATTCGCCACCCGTAATGTGAACAAAGATCCCATACCTAGAGCATCCACGGTCAAGTATCTCGGCGTCATTTTGTCCCACAACCTTCCTTGGTCCACGCATGTCTATGAAAACTTTTTTATATCCTCAGAATTAAGGTGACTTCTTGAATTGTCTCCTGTAGGTTATACTAATCCTTTGTCATCTTTCCAGAACTATTTCAAAAAGACCACATCGATAAAGCACAGTTCTAGATGCAGCGACTTGTCTAGGGATTTTTCAGTTGATTTAACCATTTCTAGACATCTTAATGCCTGCAATGATTTTTCATCCAAGGCGCTAAGTGACAGATTTTATCCAATGTAGACTATTTACAAACGCCCTCTTTCTCTTCTACGCGTTGGGAATATAAAATTTAATTCGCCAGCACTTCATCGTATCATAATGCTGTCTTGACTTATCGATTACGTTTGCTAGTTGAACCCGCGAATCGTAAACATGCTGCGCAAACACTTGTTGAAGCGATAATTGTGCATATTTGCCATTTTTCTCCCAGGTAAGTATATTTCACTGATATTATCATCCAGTATGGGCGTGAGAATCCATGGCTGGCTGATGCTGGTAGTGGCGAGTTCCTGACAGATCGTTAACCTGCTACTTCCCCCAGTGCTGTGCCGTGGACTTTCCCTGGACGCCACCTCGTGGCGACCGCTGGGTGGGAGTTGGGTTACACCTTCATTCGAGCTAAGAGCCAGGATACATATAATTCCGCGTGAGTCGGTTCACTGACTCATAGCGCACGGTCCGCTGCTTTTTGGGAGTACATTTGATCGAAGGCCTTTGGCTGAGGACCCGAGTCAGATGGACACCCGGGAAGCAAACCAGTCCAAAACCAAACCAGGTAGGACTGCATTATGCTGCATCGGCCGTCGCGCAGTGGTGGGGAGCGAAAAGGGTCGCCATAACTGTTGCATACACACACACACACACACACACACTATACACCTTAGCTGGATGTTGGAAACACCGCAGCTACTGTGCCGCAATACGTAATAGAAAAAGGGAATACGATGCAACAGATGCAAGCCAGCTGAGCTACCGGTAACGGATGGGCATCGTTTCGGTAAGCTACCAGTCGGCTACTATGCAGCAAAAAATAATTTACTGTGCAAAATTATAAAATGCTGAATAATGAGATCGTGGTTGGAGGGGGAGGCTAAGAGGGACGGGGTGGGACAAACAAACTCACAGCACGAACGCCACTGAGGTCGGCTCCTTGCCAGATCAGCAAGTGTATCCAGCCAAACCTTTCCTACAATACTTTCTTGATGCTCTGGCCGTCGCAGAGGATAATAAACGGCGCCCTATCTGCGGCATCGAGCAGGGTGGATAGGGGTATGGATGCTACTGCTCAGGCCTTCCCGTCTTCTTATACCCCTTCTTGCGCTTTTTCATCCTTATCGTCCCGCTCCAACTTTACTTATATCCCCCATTTTCAATCCCCCAATTCTTGGCTCTCCCCCAGCTTACTTTAATAGTCGCTTGTCTTCTAATTTCAAATCACACACAATCGCAGGGCCTCGCTCCAATCCAGTCGACAAGTCCATGTTCAACCAAGCGGACGTCAGTTCATCCGTTTCCCTTTGGAGTCCTCGTGTCTCGCTAAGATTGGCATGTCTCAACGTGCGCACCTTGCTGCAGATTGGCCAACAGGCAGCACTTGCCCGCACACTAGAGACCCTATCGATCGATATTTGCTGTTTATCAGAAACCCGCCTGCAAGGTTCGAGCTCCGTGCTTACCCTGAGATCCCCCACAGGCGACACTGGCGGCACATTCTCATTGCGCCTGTCTGGCGATGATGCAGCTTCAAATGCCGGTCAAGCTGGCGTCGGCATTGTTTTGAGTCCCCGGGCTGAAGCTGCCCTGATTGTCTGGATCCCAGTAAACAGTAGGATGTGCGCCGTTAGATTAGCTGGTTCGTTCCGTGCTACGAAGTCGCGCGGGG